TTATGCATATACCATACTTGACAGGGTTCAAATGCTAGATTGCAAAGCCTATGCCCACTCCGCTTGACACTAGGGTTACTATCCCGGAGTCTATGGCTCTCGCTGATCCTAGTTGGTTTCGTAGTATTGTCGGAGCCCTACAATACCTTACTCCCACTCGTCTTGATCTTGCTTATAGTGTCAATTTTGTTTCTCATTTTATGCATTCCCCCGCTGTTGCTCATTAAAAGCTTGTTCATCATATTCTTCGTTATGTCAAAGGCACAATTCGCCTTGGTCTTAGTCTTACTGCAGATACAGGTTTGCGGCTGTATGCCTTCTCTGATGCTGACTGGGCAGGATGTCCCACTACCCGACGTTTTACCACTGGCTATTGTACGTTTCTTGGTCGCGATATTATTTCTTGGTGTGCAAAAAAAAAGCACTCCGTCTCTCATTCAAGTACTGAAGTCGAGTATCGTGCCATGGCCAACACTGCAGCTGAAATCACTTGGCTCACTTATCTCCTCAATGACCTCCGCATTCCATTGGCATCACCTCCTGTTCTCTACTGTGACAATATTAGTGCTCTTTATCTGACCATTAATCATGTCTTTCATGCTCACAGTAAACACGTCGAGCTGGATTATCACTTTGTACGAGAAAGAGTTGCCCTTGATTTGCTTGTCACCAAACATGTTTCTTCCAACAATCAGGTTGCTGACATTTTCACCAAGCATGTAACCAAGTCGTCTCTCCCTAAGTTGTGCCTCCGACCCCGGCTCAGTTTGAGGGGATGTTAAAACTACATAATTGCAGTCTAAATCCACGAAGACTTCTCTGAATATGGGGAGTAATAAAGATGTTTGGAGAGATAAGGTTGTACCTACTCAGTAAAACGACTAATTTACGTGTTTGGTTACAAGTCAGTTAAAGGTCAATTCAGTCCCGTAAAACTATTGTTCACCCTCAGCAACTAGGTTTATTCTCCAACAGAGTCCTCCTCATCTGAATTTCTTCCACAATGCAATCATTGGATTACTCCAAAAATGGCTCCAGTTGGTAGTGCATCATCTCCTTTATAGCTGAAGTTATCATCATCAACAACCTTAGTTGTTTCTCAAAAAGATGAGCTGCTGTAAACTTGTATAAATAGAATACATCGTGTATGTTATCAAGTGTGGTGATTAATAGACAAAGTATAATTCAGTCTTTCTCTTTCAAAGTTTCTATTTTGTTGTTTGCGTTATTTTTCAAAAAACCTTTAGGGTTTTAGAAAAGTTTGTTTTCTCGCTCTACAGTGGCAGAGCTAGAAATTTCAAATAGAAGACGCGAAATGATATTTTTTTTAGAAAATTTATTTTTTTAAATTTTAACAGAAAGATTGAAAACTCCCTTTTTAAAAGATATAAGAGGAGGGCGTCCGCCCTTACTGATCCTCTTTTTTCCGCCACAGATGACGTGGTTTGGAGCTTTGGATGTTTTAACTAAGGTTAATGGTTCAATGGTATTTAGATTGTCCTTCACGTAAGAATAATGCATTTGGTTTAAAGAAGTGTCGTCTGTTATTTGTGAGTCCGTCAAAGTTTGTTTATGATAGTTAATACTACTATCTTCTAACGATTTGCAAAATACATGTATAGGTTTACCCAAGTGTGGGGTTTGCTTAGGGTACTGAAGTACTACACAACTTGCTAAAAAGTGTTTTGAATTCATGTTCACCAGTTACATTATCGATAACACATATTAAGCTTTATTAATAGAATTATTGAAGCGAGACAAATAGACTAATTAGTTAAGAACAACTTAATGCAAGTTATATTAAAAGTAGGACAAAATGTACTTTTCGTCCCCCAGCTTTTGGAGTAGTTAGATCGAGTCACTATGAATTTTTAATTAGTAAAAATACTCCCTTAAAATATTTTTATCAACAGAATTTTTAAAAATTTAAGGTCCAATCCATTTCCTTATTAGGTTTTTATTTATTTACTAATTTCTGAAACGATAGGGCCTACTACTTTGACCCCATTCATTTTCTTTTATTTTTCATTTTTTTAATTAAAACTTAATTCAAATAAAAAAGTGATGCGAGCCCCCTAAAGTTTTTTATTTTTAGATTTTAATTGTTAAAAAATTTAAAAAAATAAAAAATAAAAAAACATAAATAACTCAAAAATAACAAACCTAGTTCTCCTCCTCTAACCCAGCTGCCGCAGCTACCAACCGCCGCCACCACAAGCAGAATCAAACAGCAAAATTAAATACGTTCTTCCTCCCGTCGACACACAACCACCAGTTCATCTTCTCCTTCCACTTTCTGCATTTCTTCACTTTCAATTCAGATCCCATTATCCACACTCAATACGCATTTGATTTGCATAATCATGTAGTTTCTATCGATTCTGTAACTACATGTTTCTGAATTTTAGTTTTCTATTTTTGTGTGTGTGTGTGTGTGTGTGTGTGGACAAGAATAAAACAGGGTGGGTTCTGGATAATACTTGGATGAAGAAAATGGAAAACGGAATGAAGAAGCTGATGCTGTGCCAAATGCCATTATAGCCAACTAAAACCATCCTCCTTGACTATTAATTTTTTTTTTCCTTCACGAGATCCTTTTCCTGTGTGAGAATATGCATATGAAAAGATCATTTTGCAACCCTTTTGAGTTGTGATAGCTGTTTCAACAGGGAGATGAAACGGGGACATCATCTCCGGCCATTCAATTACTAAATCAATACAAGAAAAGAAAACATTAATAATCATCTCCGGCCAATTCAGTCTAAAACATCAAAAATTTTATCTGAGAGCGGCCGAGTTTTGGGTTGGCCCAGTGCAGACCTTCCCCTGAGCTTCCCAAAAAGTCAGATTCGGCTTCTGAAAATTGGGATTCCGGTAGGACACTGATATTGTCGGGAGTCTCCGATACGATTCCGTTGAGAATTTCAGTACTTAAAAGAACTTTCAGAGAAAAAGATTTGCACCGATCAAATTTATGTTAATCTTCTTGTTTTTTGGGTTTTGAAGATTGTTGAACTATGGTGTGGCGACGGGAATTGGGGGCGGCGGTGGTGAGAAGTGGTGGTGTGGGTAAATACAAAAATCAATTATATTAAATTTTAATAAAAGAATTGAAAAAGAAAAAAAATATTTCAGGGACTATATTAAATTTTAAAAAAATAATAAATTAAGAAAGATTGACCAGTTAGTTGACTGAAAATTCTGTTAAATTGACTAAAATTGAAGAGAAAAATATTTTAAAAGATTATTTTTGTCAATTAAAAATTTATGGTGACTCGATCTTGTCACCGCAAAAAATTGGAGGACGAAAAGTGCATCCGATTCTTAAAAGTATCACCTTATCCTTTGGCCCTTCTATAATATATTGGGCATAATTAATTCAGCAGTCCGCAGGCCAGCAGCAGCCAGTATTATCCGCAATCTTCAATCGATCAGGTGTTCCAACTTCAAATTATTTTCATTTTTTAATCAAATTAATAATAATGACATGACAACAATAATTTCTAGTCCAATTTGCCAATGATACAGTCTATTTTAATTAATTAGTCAATAATAGTTGTGCGTATTACAATTATCGTGACGTGGGGAACTTCACATTAGGACATGTTTCTCTTCATGGGACCAACTGGTTTATTCTACCTTGTTTTGTTGGAAGGAAAGGAATAGTTTTCTGGAAATTGCAATAGCCAATTGGAAGGACATTGACACATTTCAAATTTCTTGGCCTAATGAAACTTGCTTTCCAACAAACAACACTTTGTGTGTTTTAGTTTGAGACGAAACATTTTCTCCGTTGAATTGAAAAGTTGATGATGCAAATTTATTTTTAAGTATTTTTGGATCAATTAATTTGGGGGTGGTTAGAGTAGGTGTTGATTTAATAGATGGCCAAAATTGCACAACATCACTCCAACACGACATGATAAACCCAAAAGGCCAAAACCATCTCATCCATTGCAAACAAATCATACATATTGACCCGGCTTCTTCCATGTCACGTTAAAGTATCATCGGTTTTTGTTTTGAAGAAGGTAACTTTCCTTAATTAGTTACTTGAAATTGTCCGGTATAAAATGATTAACGATATTAAGAAGATCATTTCATATAAATTCAACAATATGTGACTATTTTGAAATTTAAAATATTGAATAAATGAATATAGTCACACAAATCCAATATAAACTAGATACCGTCGGGTAGTTATTGTTACATAACAAGTAGTGATTTATCATGGAATGATTCACCAGTCTTAAAATATTCCTTCTGTTTCTAAAAAATAATTCATATTGAATTTTAAAATTTTGTACTAAAAACAATACAAATATATACCTAACGTGAACCTTTTTTTTTAGAACAGAAATAGTAATTTTGTTTTGATGATGCACTTTTTATATGATTAGTGACCACTATACAAAAGGTCGGCGCTTGGCGGGTACCTTTTGTTTACTTGAAAATCCAGCACGCTGAAAATGGCTTTTCTGTTTTCCAAAAATGAGATATTGAAAATATCGAAATGCGGACTTACTAATTTGCAACAATAACCAGTCAATTTGGTTCTTAATTCTCATATTTGTTTGCTTCAATACCAACAGTTTCATGTTATTTTCCTTACGCACGTTCCAAGAGAATGATTAACGTTTTCGCCTTTTGAGTCTGTTGTAAATTTCACAAGAGAAAATCTTCTGTAACAACTTCTGTAAAATCATGTCGTTCTACCAATATATGCACATTCTAAGAATGGTTTATGTACTCGGATCTATATAAAAAACCAACGAAATGAAATTTTCCGTCTCAACGTCTATTTTGTGTATCATCAAAGTTATGTCATTTAATACCGTAACAATACTATATTTTGATATTGGACGAGATTAATAAACGAAAAATAAAAAAAATATAAAAAAGAGCGACAATAGATGAGGTCTGAAATTTATCACAAACAATTGATACACAAAAGACGAAACAAAAATCTCATCTGAAACTTTTCTCAGATTTACACTCTCTTCCCATATAGCCCGAGATCTACCTGTCACAAGTTAGCAATATTTGCCACAAAATATAGAAGTACAAAACAAAAAGGTGAATCAATTGTGGCTATTATGGGCTAGACATGCTGCAAAAAACTCCAAGAGCTCATACAGATGTGTATCTTATCATTTAAAGAGATTAAATCAATGAATGACAAGAAAAGGAGGGATCCAATTTGTGGGTTATAAATATAACTGAAACAAAGCCATGTGTTATAGTTACAAGACAACTGGAAATTGATTTATGTCTTCTGCTACAAAACACCATTTGATAAATCTCACTTTCTACACCTTCTTTCAACTTTTCTTTCTTTCTTTCCTTCTTTCAAACAAATCAACATCACCTTTTTTAGCTCTTTCCCTCATTTCCTCTGTTACACAAACTTATAAGAAAGAAGCACATTGATCAGGAATGATCAATACTAGTAGATATAAAAAGTTAATGTCTCAGGGTCAGCTTCTAGTTTTCCCTATAAAAGGATCCACATTCTGTGGTTTCATTCAGAGCACACAAGTCCTTGTATTTTCTGCAGCCCCTTTATAACAAAAGGCTTTGTAGTACTCATATATAGTCAGAAACCATAAACCATTTTGAGAAACAACCCTGAGATTATAACTTCTTGATTATTTCGAATATGTCGAAGGAGGGGAAGATGGGGTGGAGCATTTCTCCTGATGTTGTCAACTATAAAGGGATGCCTGCTGACAAAAGTCAAACTGGTGGTTGGGTTCCTGCTGCACTTATCTTAGGTATCTTGTATGGTGGTTTTTTTTTTTTTTTTTTTCCCCTTTCTATCTGGATTTCATGATTAAATCATGTCCTTTTTGGCATGCATGCAATTTCCAATTCAACTTATTTATGCCATTCAACAGAAAGATGAACAAAGTTTCAGAAATGCAGAATCACTTCCAGTGCTTTTCATTCATGTCACATACTATGTTGATGTTACTACATCAGAATTTTACTAGGAGTAGGAGACTGTGACACATTATGATTGGATCAAACTATAAAAAAAAAATTTTAAAATGAAGGATTTGTTTATGGTGATTTTAGGCAAACATAACATGATGATCTTTGTTGATTCCACTAGTTTTATGAATTGAATTGGCTGAACAAAAATGTGTTTACAGGAATTGAAGTTGTTGAGAGGCTTTCAACTCTGGGAATATCAGTGAACCTGGTAACTTACTTGGGTGCAACCATGCATCTCCCAAGTGCAGCTTCAGCCAACATTGTGACAGATTACTTGGGAACTTCATTTATGCTTTGTCTGCTTGGGGGATTTCTTGCTGATGCATTTCTTGGCAGATACAAAACCATTGCTGTTTTCACCATAATTCAGATCATTGTGAGTAGATATTTTATCTGCTTCCTTTAATCTTACAAAATTACTTATGATTACTCTACATTGGATAGGAAATTGTTAATGAAATGAATTGAATTTCATTCAGGGAACCGGCGTGTTGGCGATAACAACAAAACTTCCTGAGCTGCGACCGCCTCCCTGTGGTGCTAATGGTGACTGTAAACCAGCCAATGGGTTTCAAATGGGAATTCTTTACATTGCTTTGTACCTTATAGCATTAGGCACTGGAGGGCTAAAATCAAGTGTTTCAGGATTTGGAACTGATCAATTTGATGAAAAAGATGAAAGGGAGAATGCACAGATGAAGTATTTCTTCGGCAGGTTCTTTTTCTTCATCAGCCTTGGAACACTGACAGGAGTTACTGTCCTTGTGTACCTTGAAGATCATGTGAGCCGAAGCTTGGCTTATGGGATTTGTACTGTGTCAATGACAATTGCTGTGATGATCTTCTTTTCGGGGACGAAGAAATACAGGTACAAGAAAAGCATGGGAAGCCCCATAGTTCAGATTTTCCAGGTCATTGCTGCTGCTATTAGGAAGAGAAAGCTGGATGTTCCTAATGATATTGGCTTATTATATGAGACTACACTTGAACCGGCTAGAATCCCTCACACTGATCAGTTCCAGTGAGTGTAATCTTCAAAAAATTTTGTCATTTCCACAACAATTGTAAGTTTCTGCAAATGTTTTTTCTAACATTATTGACCATGGCTTTGCGTTTCAGTTTCTTGGACAAGGCTGCAATTGTGGAAAAAGAAGATTTCGGGAGCAAAGTTCTTCAAGATCCAAATCCTTGGAAGCTATGCACAGTCACAAGGGTTGAAGAAGTGAAAATGATGGCAAAATTACTTCCAATTTGGGCTACAACAATCATTTTCTGGACTGCTTATGCACAGATGATAACTTTTTCGGTTCAGCAAGCTTCTACCATGAACAGAACCGTTGGCAACTTCTTAATACCCGCAGGATCCCTCGCTGTCTTCTTTGTTTTAGCCATTTTGATCACCTTGGGAATTTATGACCGTCTGATCATGCCACTGTGGAAGAAATGGAAAGGAAAACCAGGTAATCCTTTGTTCCCATTACCTAGGCTAAAAGTAGTATTAGAGAAGTAGTTTTATACCTGTTCTTTATTAGTTCTTGTTCTGTCCAACCAAACAATGTTAGTTCAAATCAAACTGGGTAATTTCAGATTTCAGTTCTATCAAACAGAACCTAAAACACAAATTGCAGAACCATCCCACTAATACTTTTAATTTTGAATATTAGATCACGAGATATAATTGTCCTGTTCTGGATGCAGGCTTCAGCAACCTTCAGCAAATGGGAATTGGTCTTGTATTGTCCACATTCGGGATGGCTACTGCTGCATTAGTCGAGATGAAAAGATTGTCGGTAGCAAAATCTGCAGGGCGCAATATCTCTACTCTGCCCATAAGTGTGTTCTACTTGATCCCCCAATTCTTCTTGGTTGGTTCAGCAGAAGCATTCATATACACAGGACAACTGGATTTCTTCATAACAAATGCACCAAAAGGGATGAAATCAATGAGCACCGGTCTCTTCTTGACCACAATATCGCTCGGTTTCTTCTTCAGTAGCCTTCTCGTCTCCATTGTCAAAAACGTGACAGGAACCAGCGATGGTCAAGGATGGCTCGCGGACAATATAAACTATGGAAGGCTTGATCTTTTCTATGCACTTCTCGCCATCCTCGGAGTCATAAACTTCGCTTTGTACATGATTTGTGCAGTTTTCTTTAAGTCCAACAAACCCATAGAAACAGATCCCGCAGTGACTGATGCCACAGCTGAGGAGAAATGCTAGTGTATGATCGATGTGGTCAACGCGAAGCCATGAGCACAGGTCCAACATTGAGGCTATTCCAACAGGCTTTTAGCGCAAGTGCAACTTCAACCTCCCCGATTTCTGAAATAAGCAACTGAAGCTGCTTCTTGAAAATATTTAGGACTTGTAGTTTGTTTATTTGTATGTACAAGGTGGAGGATCAGAGGGAGGGGGGGGGCGCGCGGGGAGGGGGAGGGGGAGGGACATAGTTCGGTTGGGGAATTCTGTCGAACAGGTTGCCTTCATTGTAAAAAGGCGCGAAAGTTCGCTGCAACTTTGATCGCTTGAATAAGTTTTCAATACAACGAATTTGGCGGGTAGTTAACTTATAAGAAAATTCAAAATACCCAACCGATGTGAAAGATTCGAGTTGTTATACTAAGCACATTAAGTGCATCTAGCTAGCTGCACTTAGACTTTTTTTAATTATTTAATAACGGAGGGACTTTATGTATAATTATTTAACATGCTTTCTTTTTCATTTTCAATGCAATGTGTTCCTTCTCCTTAATTTTAGAAAATGGGTTTTAAAAATTCCTTTTACCTTCAAATGATTTTATTTCTTAATGCGTAACGAACTAGACCAAGTGTCTTATATCATTTTGATAGTACTCGATGAGATATATCCAACAAGATCCATCATTAATATATTTTTCGAAACTTTAAAAAATTTATGCAGTTGCCTTGGTCTTCCTAAAAGACGCTATGGTCTTACTTGTGTCTTTTAGCACCAAGACCTAGAGCAAATACTAAAGACTAAAGGCCAAAGACCAAAAATCGAAAACCAAAGAACAAAGGCAAAAGACCAAAGATCAAAGATCAAAGTAAAGAGCGAATGTGTGTGATAACCAAAGACCAAAGACCAAAGACCGAAAACCAAAAAATCAAAGACCAAAGACCGGAGTAAAGAGCGAGCGTATGTGAAAAACAAAGACCAAAGACAAAACGCCAAAGACCAAAAACCGAGAGATCAAAGACCAAATACTAGAATGAATAGCGAGTGTGTATGAGGAGCAAAGACCAAAGACCAAACTAGGCCCTAACCAACACGGAAATGCTTAAACCCCTCTAAACTCTAAACCATAAACAACTAGACCTAACCGACACGGAAATGTTTAAACCTAATATTTTTTTTTTATTTTTTTTGGTTTAAATTTTTTTAAACCAATTAGGCTAGGGTCACGTGCCTAATTAGGCCTCTAACTGACACGGAAATGCTTAAACCCCCTAAACCCTACACCCTAAACAACTAGACCCTCCCTAAACCCTAAACACACTAATTTTTTTTTAGTTTAAATTTTTATATAAATAAAGTTAATCGTGTTACGGCACAAACTAGGTCCTAACCAACACGGAAATACTTAAACCCCCTAAATCCTAAAACCTAAACAACTAGACCCTAACCGACACAGAAATAGTTAAACCCCCCTAAATCCTAAACACGCTAATTTATTTTTTTTTGGTTTAAATTTTTGTAAATCAATTAGGCTAAATGAGACCCTAGCAGAATTGGTTTAAAAAAATTTATAGGTTAATCGTGTTACAGCACAAACTAGGCCCTAGCCAATAAGGAAATGCTTAAACCTCCTAAACCCTAAATCCTAAACACCTAGACCCTAACCGATGAGGAAATGCTCAAACCTTCTTAAATCCTAAACACACTAATATTTTTTTCGACTTTTTATCTTTGGCCTTTGGTCTTTACTTCTCACACACGCTCTCTATTAATTCTGGTCTTTGGTCTTTACTCGTTGGTCTTAAGTTTTTGTAAATTTTTTTTGGTCTCTGGTCTTTGGTCTTTGGTCTTTTAGTATTTGGTCTTTGGTCGTTGGCCTTCAATGTTTGGTCTTTGGTATTTGCTCTTTGGTCGTTGGCCTTTAGTCTTTGGTCTTTGGTATTTGCTCTTTAATTTTTGATGTTTGGTCTTTGCTCCTCACACAATGCTCGCTCTTTTACTCTGGTCTTTGGTCTTCGATTTTTGCTCTTTGGTCTTCGGTTTCTTGGTCTTTGGTCTTTGGTCTTTTGTTATTGTTCCTCACACGCTCACTCTTCACTTTAATCTTTGGTCTTTGGTTTTTTGTCTTTGCTCTTTAGTATTCAATTTTTGGTCTCCTTTGGCCTTTGTTCTTTTCTGTAGGTCTTGGTCCTAAAAGATACAAGTAAGATCAGAATGTCTTTTAACAAGACCAAGGCTATTGCATAAATTTTTTTAAGTTTCAAAAAACATATTCGTGATGGATCTTGTTGGATAGATCTCATCGAATAATATCAAAATGATATAAGACATTTGATGCAATTCTTTACGGATTGAGAGAAAAATCATTTGATGATTGCAAAAAAATTTTGAAACCCATTTCCTAAAAATAAGGAAGAGTGGTGCGTATGTTTCACCAAACTCATAAAGACTTGCATGTTTAGCCTTCCTTTCCTATACTAATTGCCAAGTAAGGGTCTATGTGTACCTACCTACATGCACTTAATGTGCATGGTATAATTTTTGGAATTATTCGATGTAAAAAATACATTTTGGTTTTCGGTACATAATAAAATAATTTAATGGCTTAATGGTATGACTTAAATGAATCCATTTCCTTTTTCTTCCAATCTTACGCATGCATTATGCAAGGGTGTTCACGGACCGGATTGGTTCGGATTGATAGTAATCCGTAACCAAATCGTTCACTACGGTTTTAAAATTTTTTAAACCGTAACCGGACCAGTTTAATGTCTAGACCGGACCAATCCAATCCGTTATGAACGGATTTGTTTAGGCGAATTGGCGGTTTGGGATTCTAATTGGGCTTTTTCGTTTTGGGCAAAAAATTTAATATTTTTTTGTTATTGGACTTTTTTTTAGCCTTTTTCGGGGCTTGGTATGGGAGAAAAAAATTTAATCATGGGGGGACTCGAACTCGCGACCTCAACCAAAATTAAGAGTAGGGAGAAGAACAAAGCCAATCAGACAACTTAACAATTTTATTATAAGTCATCATCCGCAGCTATAGATACAAAATTATCATATTATTATTTAATAATATATAAACAGTCCGGTCCGGTTTTATAGACGATTTGACAGTGCCAAATCGTAATCCGGACCAGTATGACCAGTTTTCAAATTTCAAATCTACCGGATTAAAAATTCACTTATAATCCGCCCGCTAATCTAAACTGATGACCGGTTTGGGCGATTCCACTGGATTGAGCCAAACCGTGAACAACCCTAGTCTTATGAATCACTTATCTCTAGCAAATTCACTTATCTTATGATTTCGGTGTTGTAAATATTTTTGAAAAACGTTTAAAATGTAAAAAAAAAAAATACTGGAATAAGAAATATATTGATGAAAAATTCAAAAAAAAATGAAAAAGAAAAACCTAGTGAAAAAATGAACCAAACAATTAACTCTTAAGTAGCCACTCAAAAGAGTTTATGAGTCCACTCAAAAGAAGAATCCCTCTATATTTTTTCTTTTCACAAACCGTGAAAATTATTGATGAAAATGGACGTGATGCAGTTATTCGGATAAAATACTGAACTACTTTAACTTGCCATCTGGCTTATTTCTTATTCGATTTAATTCAATAGATGCAAGAGAAGAGGCTTTAAAATTGAATATCTATCATTTTGGAAATGGATATCCCGTCATAGTTAAGCCTTGGACTGTTGATGAGGGTATAAACTATAAAGAAGTGAGCAAAGTGCCCGTCTGGTTACAGTTTCCCAAATTAGAGTTAAAATACTGGAATCCTGATTCTTTGAGTAGCATAGCAAGCACATTAGGCACTCCTACTATGACAGATGAGCTGACAAACAAAAAAGATAGGGTGAGTTATGCCAGAGTATTGGTTGAAATGTAGATCAAAAAAGAAGTCCCTAGTAAAGTATATTTTGAAGATGAGAAATGCATTGTGCAAGAACAGGAGGTGTGGTATGAATGGAGACCTATATGCTGTGATGTATGTGCAGGGTATGGTCATGAAACTAAGGTTTGTAAGAAACAGAAACCAGAATTGGTACCTAAGGAACCTGAAACACGGAAAAAACAAGAGGATAAAGAGTGGAAAAGAGTAGGCAGTTCAAAGAAGGAGGAGGGCGCCAAAGGAATGAACCTAGATATGCAGACACCAAAGCTATCAAAAGGGAAAGAGAAGCAAGCAAAGAGTCCTGTCAGGTTTACTATTCTAAGAAGGAGTTTTGAGGAGGATTTCCAGTAGTTACTAAAGGCAACAGAGTGGGAGAGCAGTGAAAGGAGCAAGGAGAGAAATCATATGGAGGTGGATCCAAACCCTAGCATGAGTAGTATCTTCTCTTGAAATATCAGGGGCCTGAATGCCTCAATAAAGCAGAGGGAACTCCATAGAGTACTTGCTGCAAATAGAGTGAATATAGCATATGTTCTGGAAATCAAAATGAATCAGGAAAAAGTGAAGGAGATAATGAAAGGAATGTTCCAGAATTGGAAATATACAACTAATGGAGAATTGACCAGAAAGGGACGTATTATGATAATGTGAGATGACACAATGGAGATCCAAATACTGCAATGTTCAACCCAGATGATCCATTGCAAAGTAAGGGATAAGAAGAGTGGAAATGAATTCTACCTAACCAGTGTGTACGCCTGAAACCAGGAGCAGGGAAGACTGAGATTATGGGAAAAACTAGAGGGCATTAGCAACACCATTAATCAGGCATGGGTGGTGCTTGGGGACTTCAACAATGTGCTTGAAAAAGAGGAGAAACTAGGAGGGCAAAAGTTGAAACTTGCAGACATCGAACCATTCAGTGTATGTTTGGATATATGTGAATTATAGAACCTCAGACAACAAGGAAATTTATTCACTTGGTGCAACCAGCAGATGGGCAGTGATAGAATCTATGCAAAGTTTGATAGAAGTTTGGTAAATGGAATGTGGGTAGACCAGTTTAATCACTCAATCTGCACTGTTTTGCAAGCAGGGATTTCAAACCATTCCCC